TCTTTCATCAACTAGTACTGGAATAGAGAGACATCATCATAACGCAGCAAGACTTGTTAGGCAGTCTCTCTCGTGCGATACTCGTAAGGCTTACGATGCTGCCTGGAAAGTTTTCAGTTCAAACATGCGACTACGGATCCCACGCATACCTCCTACATCCTAGCTTTCATTTCTTACTGTCATTCGGTGTTTTGAATTGTGTGTATATTGCTCTGCTACTAAGCAATCCTATGGATCGCTCAGTAGCTGTTGCAGAAGCCTAGGAGCTGATCAATTCAGCTCCTGAGCTTATGCTAAAACCGTGTCTGTTACTGGATCTATCACTAAAGTCTGACAGAATTCAAGTCATGCAGGCTGCATGTTGGGCACCATTCATCTATACTCTGGATCTTACTGACCTACTCCTTGCAATGCTTAGTCTACCCTGTTGAGCAGCAAGAAGCCAGTCAGGATCACATAACCTAGATACTTTTAGAATCTGTCTGAACCAGGTGTAAACTACCCTGGAAACTCCTGGGGTTCCTCCTGTAAACCTCTCCAGAGGTTCCAGCTCTAGTTTCTGTAAATTTTGTGGTATCTACTGGATTCTATCATCTCCACTCTTCTCTAATGATCCCATCCCCTGTTACGTGTTCCCGAAATGCTACAGATCTCTCTTGAATCCATTCATGACATTATCATTTTGAGCGGCATATTGTCGTTTGATTCCTTCCTCCCTGACCTCTCTAGATTCCTGACAAGTTTCTGTGCACTTTTTAAAGAACCTCATTAGTCCTCCTCTGCTGTCTCTAGATTCTTATGATTGGTCTCCCTATGCACCGGACAGTATGAGGTCTGTTTTTTTTATGCAGGAACGCTGCAAATGTTGTAGGACAACAAAGCGTTTGTGGCTGTCTTCTGACAAGGCCTGGATGTGAGATGTCTCCTACACCTTTGTGTCTCTTTTCATCAGAAGTGATCAGAAACATGAGTACCGTTGCTATATTCCTTGAAGGGCTCCTAACTTTCAGAAGGTGCTTGTTCCTACTGAAGAGTTAATGCAGGTGTATCAGGAGAAGGTGTATGGGTGACACACCTAGCACTGGGCTCAGAATATGTATTTGTATTGTGTGGGGAGTGGTGAGCACTGAAGCAGGGGACTCTAATGCCTAGGACAAAGGAGAGAGGGTCTCTTTGGTGAAAAGGGGGTGTTCGGGCCTAGATCACTGTGCTGCTGAGGGGACGACGGTAAAGCCATATCCAGTGTCAGTAAGCAGAGGTGCGCAATTCTTATCGCCCATCATCTGCGATATGAAGGTCCGTGCACCAGGAGGTGTGTGTGGTTTTTTTTTTTTTTTTCTCTACTTTTAACCCAGTTGCGGGCATTTAGGGTTAAATGGTTCTCTGGTCCTCCATTCCCCTAATTAGTTTGGTCGCCCTCCGCTGGACTTTTTCCAGCTCAAGGACATCCTTTCTGTGGACTGGTGACCAAAACTGGACCGCATACTCCAGATGAGGCCGAATCAGTGATCTATAAAGTGGCACAACTATAGGCTTGTCTCTGCAATAAATCCCCTTCTTAATACAGGACAAGACTCTACTTGCTTTGTTGACAGGGACGAGAGGCCACACTCGATGACAAGGACGAGAGGCCACCACTTAAAATTGGTGGAGAAAAAAGGGGCGAAGGGGGTTCTTCTCAGTTAGATCGGCCAAGGTATGGAACTCGCTGCCACATGCTGTGATTTCGGCTGAGAGTGTGGAATCATTCAAGAGGCGATTGGACGATTTCCTCAGGGACCGTAATATACAGGGGTACAAGTACTCATAAAATTGAGAACACACAAGGGACCTATACATACTACACACCAATAGGACCATACACGCATACACAAATAGGTTGGACTTGATGGACATATGTCTTTATTCAACCTCAAATACTATGTAAAATAAAAATGAAACTCTGCTGCCCCCGCCATCTGCATGCAAATAAACGCATGCGTAGGGCATTCTGCATGTGCTTTGAGATTGCAGCCGCCATTCCATGGTGGTAGCCATAATTTTCTTAACACACACACAATGTGCATTAAACCCTTCGTGACGGGAGACGTACAGTGTACATCCCGGCACTTTCTATTGTACGTGACGAGTTATATCAGGCTTTGTAATGCTGGTAACAGCTGATTCTCAGCAGTTACCAGTCATTAATGAATGCCTCAGTATTGAGGCTTTCATTAATGAAATAGTTAAGCTTTTTGTAAAAGCTTCTTTCTTTCATTAATGAAAGAATTAAGCCATTACATGCAAATACAGGACTGCAATTTGCGATCCTGTATTTGACAGCTGAAAATAGCAGATGTAGCAGTGACTCACCTCACCTCTCTTACTAGTATCAGTGCCGATACAGAGTATTTGGGCGAGTACTCGTACTCACCCAAATGCTCCGTTACCTTCCCCGATATTGGAACTTACGGCCAGATGAAAGATTCCTCTGACTGGCAGTGCCAGAGGGGAACATGGAGCCAGCTTCCCGTGCAATCAGGAAGCCGTGTGGCAAGTAATGACCCGCCTCCTGGTTTTCTGATTGGCCGGGAAGCCGGCTCCTTGCTGATTGGCTGGAAAGCCGGCTTCCTGGCCAATCGGGATCGAGCCAGTTTCCCGGTCAATCAGGTCATTACTCGCCACCCGGCTTCCTGATTGACCGGGAAGCAGGTTTCCCGGCCAATCGCAATCAAGCAGGCCAAACAACATGGAGCCGGCTTCCGTGGCAATCAGGAACCTGGGCGGGATGTCATTACCCGCTGCCCGGTTTCCTAAATACCAGGGAAGCCTGCTGCATGCCAGCAGAAGCATCGGTATTAGTATTCAGTGTCGGCGAGATCCGAAAGCAAAAAATCGGTACTCGTATTCGATAGCGAAAAAACGGTATTGGTGCATCCATAGTTTTGATTAAAACTATTTTTTTTGTATTGGGACAAGTAGATTGTCATGAAGGACAAGTAGATTTGGCCCCCACTTAGCCCTTGGACAAGTAGTTTTTTTTTTTTTAAATTTCCACACCCCTGAGTGTGCTACAAAAAAATGCAGCATGCTCCTTTTTTTCACAGTGCAAACGCCCCATCCCACCCACGTTGTTGTGTGAATAGGGCACCAAGAAAATGTTGGCTTTCTAGGTGTCATAGCCGTGATCTGCACAGATTACTGCTGTATATGTGCACAGGCCCGTATTCATTTTTTTTTTTTTTCAATTGAGGTTTTATAAGATAATATTTTACAGAACATTGTCAAATAAATATAAAGTAAACTCTCTCTTATCCGGAATTTAACTAACCTGAACTCTTATCTAACCAGGAAAAAAAAAATCCTGTGTGGTCATTGTTCTGCTGATCTGCTGCATGTATTATCCTGGAAATGATCATGTACCTTTTTGTCTTAATTTGCTTTTAATTACAGCATTTCAATATTCATATGAAGGTATGGCATTAGTTAGACCTATTTTTAATAGTAACTCTCAAGCAATCAGAAACCACATTTATCCGGAATCTACCAATCCCCATGAATGCTGGATAACTAGTACGATCTAGGCACTTTTATTTTCAGCATTACATTTTCTTCCTGTACCACTAGGTGGCAGCAAAGGTTTATATTGAAATTCCTACATGAAACACCTGGTGTTCCCTGCATGTGTTTGATATCCTATTTGAACCTTGTTAAATCATTTTTTAAATATACTTCCTTTTTTTATTTTGCTCTTCTTTTTTTGTGCAGTATGTTTTGCACAGTCTTTAGGTTTGTTAATTGCAATTTTTAACACCGGTAATATTTATCTTTGATCTTTAGTAGCAAACCTAGTGTGGTTTGTCCGTCAGGCAAAGTTGGAAAATGTAACAAATCTGGTGTAATTCGGCGAAAACTGATACATTAGTATTCACTTACAGCATGAGGCTGCAGCTTTTATATATATTTATTTTATATTTTGGGAACTAATTAAAGGCATTTTTTTGCTTGGATAAGGTGGTGAGGGTTTACAGCCCCTGTCAGGTTTTTATTGCTAAGTCCCTGTTAAGGAGAGTCGCTCTCTCTAATTGTCTGGACCACCAATGTCACTGAGCGTGAGGGAAGGGTGAAGGTAAATCCAATATTTTTCCACCAGAACAGGGATAGAGCGGAAATCCTCCAATGTGGACACTTGTTTCTGTAACAATTGTCCGAGAGGGGATATTCCTCACATTGGAAAGCTATCCTCTCACTTTCTGTTGGTCTACAGGAAAATCTCCATAATGATTGTAAGCTCTCACGGGCAGGGCCCTCCTTGCCATCTTGTCTTGAATTGTATTGTGATTGTAATGTCTTCCTTATATTGTAAAGCGCTGTGCAAACTGTTGGCGCTATATAAATCCTTTATAATAATAATGAGACACAGATAACACAAAAAACAAACAAATAAGCCGACAGTGGTTTTGCCCTCCTTGCACCCTCTGGCGCTGGGGTCTAAAATAAAAGATAGTCCCCTAATCCTTGGTCCCACGACGTTGATTGCTCACATCTCTCCCCCCTATGCTCCGGCTGTGTCCCCCTTCGTCCTCTCATCCAATGCAAGTGAATGGACATGATGACGTCATGGGTCCTTAACCCCTTCATGACTGAGGCCCTTTTTAGTCAGGGGGAGATTAGACTGAGAGGACTGGTCTAGCAGCCTAGAGGGATCGTCGATTGGGTGAGTATATTTTTATTTTAGACTCGACCACAATTAGCAGTTGACTCTTGCAGTGCAGGGGTAGCCCCACTGCAAGGGTTAATTTTGTACATGCCCTGAGTTGTTTTTTAAGTGTCTTGGAGGCACAAGATATTTGTGTTGTGTTTGGGGTTGGAAGATACCAGGGGGAGCATAAGTGCTTATGTTAACGTTTCACATTTGCTTTAGTGCTAAAAGCCCCATACTCAAATGTATGTTGGTGGGTTGCTAGTTGCTACCGCTGACACCAGTCAGTCTTTAACTAAACCATTTGATCTCTTTTTAGTCTCTTTCAGATGATTCATTTGACAGTAACAAAAAGTCAATGGTACTAGAAAATCTTGGAAAGCCCATCGTAAAAAGGAACAAGAAAAAAGATACACCTCCCTGGTGGGCTGCTGACGATGATTCTGAGGATGGAGGTACTATAAATTGGAAACGCCCATGAGTATTTGTGCTATTTTTATGATTTTGTTTTTGGTTTCTTTTATTTTAAAAACATTTTAATTCAAATATTTTGTGAACTTGAAGCAAAATCAATTTAGTGTTTTAATTTCCTCTAACATTTGATGCATGCTGCTTTAACATTGATTGTACTTTATATTTTTCTAAAAAACAAATTCCCAGTTCTCAATTTGAGTGATGGACAGATGGGAGGTTTGAGATCATAGTGTGTCTACTGGAGGGATTGAGGATCCAGATGAATGATATTTAGGGCCCATCCACACTAGCTCCCCCGCTAAACCACTCCGCTTTAGTGGGCGGCTAGTGCTTTGTGACAGCTCCATCATTGTGTATCATATTGTGCATTGTATGTTGAGTGTACAATGTGTGCACTCCATTCAGGTTCCTGCACGGCACCATGCAGACATGCAGTAAACTGATAAAATGCAGCATGTTTGCACGTTATCACATTGCACTGCCTACTGCGTTGTGGTTTAAATGGGACACATGGAAAACTATTGTGTCCTTGCAGTGAACTGTGTTGCTCCTTTGTGTTACAACGCCAGTCACCACTAATGTGTGTCAACATTAGAGCTGCAGCTAACGATTATTTTCAAAATCGATTAGTTAACCGATTATTAAGTTCGATTAATCGGATAAACTATAAAATAAAGTTTAAAAAATGGCTCCAGTGATGGACTACTAGTTTGTATTGAGGTTGTAGTCCATCACAGGAGCAAGCTTGGACCGGTGGAAGTAAAAAAGAAAAAAAAAAAGATAGTGTGGTGTGCAATATAGTGAAATGGAAAGTGTAAAATTATACAGCAATGCATGCAGAATGGCAACGGCTATAGAGGACTACAAAACCCAGCAAAAGCACATTATACAGCACAATGCAGAATACCGCCAGTTATAGAGGAATACAACAAATCTCAGCAATAGTACATAATAGCTGGCGGCATTCTGCATTGCGCTGTATAATGTACTATTGCTGAGTTTTGTAGTCCTCTATAGCTGGTGGTATTTAGCATTGTACCACTTTATACTGCATTATTGCTGGGATTTGTTGTACTCTTCTACAGCGTGAGGCAGGGAGTAGGTGCGGCACGCGGCGTGTGTGAAGCCGTGAACAGGGCCAACTAATCGAAAGCTGATTAATCGATGATTGAAAATGTTGACAACTTTTTCAATCATCAATTATAATCGACTTAGTCGATTAGTTGTTGCAGCCCTACATTCATCCCTGATTTCTGGGGACAGTATCCGGATTGAGGAGACCATCCCCTGACAAATGGAACATAAAATAAACCAATAATTATTTTTTAATACTCACCTGATCCCTGGATCCACCAACAAGCGCAGCCTCCCGTCTCCCACGATGTTAGAAGCGGGTCTGGCAGCGGCGAGCGTGAGGTGGGGAGGAGGTGCGGCGCACAGCATGTGGAGCCGTGAACAGGGCCAACTGATCGGAAGTCGATTAATCGATTATTGAAAAAGTTGACAACTTTTTCAATAATCGATTATAATCGATTATGTCGATTAGTTGTTGCAGCCCTAGTCAACATTCTTCAATCGTTTAATAAAATGTATTGCTTTGGCAGAACGTTTAAAGTGTATTTTATTTATTTTTGGCACTGTACTTTTTGGTTTGGTTAAACAAATTAGTTCCGTGAAGCATGACAAAACTGCAAAATATGCTTAAGCCTAGGGACCCCTCACTCTTATCCTCATCTTTTTAAATGTTTTCACTCAACTTTCACTCTGGATTCACCTATTTCTGAACTAATCCTATTAGGAAAATCTGTCAATCGGTAATGCAATTTTGATTGCATTGCATGTGGTCAGTGCAGCGCCCAGTGTCTGTCAGCTGAGAGAGAAGGTCATAGTCGGTCTGCAGTATCTTTTGAAGTTCTTATGTGGGCCTGAATGAGAAAAAAAAAAACCCTCACTTTATTCCTCTATTCTGATTGTTGTACTGATTGTGTTGTCGGGCACGTTTATGATTGTGTCAGTATGGTACAAACTTTATTTCTGTGGGCATTTTTTCTGGGCCAGTATGGTACCGAATGTGTCCTTGTGGACATATTTCTAGTTTGGTCAGTGGTCAGTATGGTAGTGATGTGGGCATGTTCCTGGTTGTGTCAGTATAGTGCTGATTGTGTCAGTGGACATGCTTCTACTTGTGTCAGTATAGCACTGATTGCGTCTGTGTGGGACTAATTGTGTTGTGGTCCAGGAAAAGAACTGGGAAGGCTAACTGCCCTCCTTGATATAACACAGTAAGTGTGCAGAGGACACAGGACATCTGTGAATTTCCAACAAGATCAGAAAGCTCTTCTTTTTTTAATTTTTTTATTATCGAACAGATGTAACAAAAAAGTGCACACAAAGTAAATTTACCTACGTTGTGACTATTAAGGAACATATTTAGATTAAAGGTTTTTTTTTGCCCAGAGTTCAGCTTTAACAGACTGAAAGGGAGTAAATGAGAAGTATTTTGTGAGGGTTTATTTATACTTTAACACATCCTGTGCAGGGAACCTCTACACTGAAATCACGCAGTGCCATTCTCCTAACACTGGGGAAAAAAGCCTGCTTTATTATTTATTTATTTAATATTTTTTGGTGCCTTGCTTTAAAGCTACCAATGCATTGGCTGCTGTTTATTGCATCCAGCTTCCAACATGGTAGAAATGGCCACCCATCTCTGACCCATTTTACCCTTAAGACTTTAGTTGTAGTCTCTACAACTAGAACAGAGATATCTATTTTGGGGGGTGTGCCTTTTTAAGTCACTTTTAATTGCCACTAGTCAAGCAGAACAAAAACATTCATTTTGGCTGCGTTGTGACCTGTTTTTTTTTTTTTTTTTTTTTTTTTTTTTTTTTTTAAATGCTGTAGCCTTTTTTTTTTGCTATGTAATTAGGAGAAATGGTCACACGGACCTTCTAGATGCCTATCTTAGTAATAATAAAGGGATTATTTGTGCTTTCTATCTTCTCGCTTTGGCTGCATTATGGTATTTTTAGATTCCTTTGATCATCTTGTTGCCCTATAGATGCTCTGACTACCATATGATTTCCTCAGTGACTTGTCCATTATCTCTTATTGCAATCAGAGGAATTATCTGTAATTTCCAGGTGGCTCTGACAAGTTATGGGCAAAAGAGAAGCTGTGAAATACAAGGAGTGGAAATAAACTGAAATCAGTTAGCTTTTACATGTGCATAAAATCTCTTTTAAATATCTAAGCAAGTATTTAGAAAAATGACACGCCGATTCCACCTTCTTTTGGGGTTTAGTTTTTTTTTTTGTACTTCTCTCTTCTAGCTGCTGTTAAAAAATAAAGACTGATGGTACCACTCACCTGCACTGCAAGGGTTAAGTACTAATCCCAGCTTGCTCTTACACCGCTCCCTCCAGCCTGTCCCCTCCTCCACTCTAGCAATGGTATGTCCCTTGGCATCCTCATGTCCAATACGCTGTATTGGAGGTGATGACTCACTGGACCTTTTGACTGCTGGAACAGAGAGGAAACGAGACTGAAGGGACCGGTCTATGAGCAAGCGGGATCATGTTTCAAATGAGTATTACTTTATTATAGCTCCCTAGACAAAACGAGAACTTAACCCTTGCAGTGTGGGCAATTTAATTTGCCCAGAGTTCTGCTTTAACATATGGATCAAAGAACTCCCCCCACCCCCAAAAAGAAAAAAATACAGCACCTGGTATTAATGGATAGATACTCGGGATGATTTACCCAAAACTCGATATAAAGAAATCAATACCATAAGCATGAGTATAATGAATAATTTTGTTCTATATTACAGATGGGTTGGAAATAATAAACATCACTTCTCTTTTTATTGTTGATGGACAAAGAATTATACACTCCAAAACAAAGTTAGAAATTGACTCATGCACTTAGTAGTTATACAGGCTGTTATTCATTATATTGCTACAATTTTAACTAAATTATACATATAATTTTATTTAGGTTATTATTCTATGATCCACTTCTATATGTATAATGTACTGCCTTGTAAGATTCATATACCGTATGTCTAAATACTGGTTTGCAAATATGTATGGTATGCACATGTATACTTTGTAATGTCTTGTATGTTGACTATAATAAAAAAAAAAAAAGCAATATTAAAACAAATTAACAAAATCAGCGTGCAAGTGTATGAAAACGTTAATTTGGCATTATAGGCTTAACTAAGATTTAATAAGGGGATTAATATTTATTTATTACTGGTATTATTTATAAAGCACCAACAATTTACGCAGCAATTTATACAGTGCACATTGAAATCAGCCCTGCCCTCAAGTAGCTTACAATCTAAGATCCCTATCTCACATGTATACATAAATTAGAGCACGGCAAGTCTTTGATCCATGTTTAAGAACTACAACAAAACATGAAGCAATAATAGTGTTATACTCTTATGTATTAATGAAAAATGTAACTGCTATTAGGCTTTTCATTCACACAGTAGCTGATGATGACGATCTTGCATCACAGACCAGGATTTTAGCTGTCAAACTGACAGGTTCATCCCATTGGTCACACCCAGTGTAGCTTAGATGAAATTTGACAGAGCATAGGTTGTACTGCCAAGAATTTAAGTGCTTAAGCATAATTTTTATCTCATTGAGGGACATGACAAACCTCCAGGTTATATTGCTGCCTACTAGAGGATTGGACACTGGCAAACAAAAAACTTTAGGCCAGCCCAGGATAAACCCTCCCACTACCAGAATTCCTCTGTTTTTTTTTTTTTATTAATGTCCTAGGAGCATGTCATCTTTTCTACAGCTCTGCTTTTCGAGTACAGTATCCAGATCCCACTGGAATAGAAGACTCCATTCTGGTAAAAATTAGCTGTGGAGCACTTTCCAGGTCTAGATCCATTGGCATTGACTCAGCACATTCCCAGTCTCTGAAGAATAGGCCAACTGGGCTAACCACCATG